TAAATAAATAAATAAATAAATAAATAAATAAATAAATATTAACTTTCCTGATCTAAGCATAGAATTTCATTTCATTCATGTGATTTAAGCTGATGTATTACATTGAAGCATTTAACTTCTGTTTATTTGGTTTCATCTGGTTTTATTTATTACGTTTTATGTGCATTTTCTGTCCTGGCTTTTGATTTAGCCTGAAAGATGGAACATATATTCATTGCATCACCAGAATAATGATTTACTAGGAATTGTGTCATGTATTATTTTAAAGAAAGCTTCAAGCAAATGGCTCATTGAGCTCATTGCTCTGTAGAAATGCCAAACTCCAACAGGTTCCTTTTTGAGTAACGTAATACAGATTGTTCTAAATTCATTTGTAGGCCTCTCAAGTCTGATTCTACAGTCTAGGGGTGGGTTACTGTTACCTGCCATTAGGTTGCTTCTGACTTATGACAAATCTATAAATTAGTGACCTCCAGAAAGCTCTATTGTCAAAAGCGCAGGTCAGTTTTTGCATTCTCAAGACTGTGACTTCATTTATTGGGTCAATCCATCTCTTATTTAATCTTCCTCTTTTCCTGTTGGCTTCAATTCCTTCCAGTATTTCTGTCTTTTCCAGCAAGTTTTGTCTTCTCATGATGTGCCAAAAGTACAATAGTGGCAATTTATTCATCTTTGCTTCTAGGGCAAGTTCTGGCTTGATTTAATCGAGAACCCACTTTGTCTTTCTGGCAGTTCGTGAACTATGGCTCTCCAAATATCTCACAATCCCTCACTGTTTGCTATTGTGGCTGGGGCTGATGGGAACTGTAGCAAAAAAAGGTATCTTGTGGGATCACAGTTGCCAGCCCCTCCTCCTGCTCCTGCTGCTGCTGCTGCTCCTCCTTCTTCAATATATTGTCTTTGTAAAAATCAGATCCAAGAGCCGTTTGTATTCTGTACCATTGACTTAGCTGGAAACACACTTCGGGCTAGATCATGTAGACCTGATTTAGAGGAAGTGGATTTTGCCTGCCTTCTTTTGAAATCTATGAAACAATTTAGTTACAATTAATGTAGCACAGTCACATAGAAGATGAAGAGGGTTTGTTGTCAGCTGATCCAGAGGGCAGGACCTGAATCAGTGGATTCAAATTTCAAGAAAGGAGATTCTAACTAAATATTTTGGAAAAACTTCATAACAACAATTGTTTTCTCATGGAACATACTGCCTTGGAAGGTGATGGATTCTCCTTCATTTGTGTGTGTGTTTTAAAAGTTGGATGGTATCATGATTCCACATGCCCCCTGATTGTTTCACCAAACTAGGAGCTCATGCTACATGCCCTTCAGCTGCCACCAGTTGATTTCATCTACAATACCTATTATTAATAATAGATGTCCAGACCATATGTCATTTTTAAAAGAACCAAATAAAAATGGTTTATTGATACAGGTGTTGATAGAACAAGCAATGTTGTTAGCATTCTTCTTTATCCACATTCAACTACCATTCTCCTGCCCAAACTCCAAAACTCTCTAATTCTCCATCTCAAATCCTTATCTAAACCTTTTCTCTGTCTATCTAAACACGTCCTCCTCCTGCTGAGTCTCTTATACCTCATGACTCTGTCCCTCCAGCACTCCCATTAGTCTATGCAAATAGCATATGAATATTCATGACCTGGGTGAATGCCACAGATGGTCACCTACCTGGAATTCACTGTAGATTCCTGCAGTGCCAATAGGTTGGAATAGATGACCTTTGGGTTCAATTCAATTGTATAATGTCATGGCTTTATGATTCTCTAAGGCCCACTGATTTCAGTAGGAAGCAAGTAAGCAAGTCTCTAAATATAGCTTTTTTTGGTTAACTATTTCTGGTGATGCAAGCAAAGCCAATAACTAGATTCACGCCATTCAGATGGACCTAAACTTTGAGGAAGTTAGTTGTGTTTAAGTCTTATGGAACTTGATGGCTAAAATCCTGTT